CGCCAAATGCGAATCATTTCGAATAGATTGTAGTATTAGTATTCTTTGTATAAATATGAATATTTAGATCCATCTAAAGAAGCACGCGTTTTGCCCAAATTGTAAAAGCTCATTCACTTCTTGTGATGCATCCTAGACTTGCCGGTTCTCAGCTAAAAGCAATCAAAAAGTTCAATCAGAATTCTAGGATCAATTCAAGGACTACTCAAGATTCCAGGGCTCAGAAAAGACCACGATTTTAGTTCCCTTGTGAGTAATTTGTGCTCACGAGACATATATATATATAGTAACTGATGAGGTAATCGATATCGGTAATCGTAATCGATATCAATAATCGGTAATCGATCGTGGGTCAATTATTGTGGAAATGTGAGAAAGCAGATGGCATTAGTCCCTAATAATTGTCAGTTGTAATGCTTGCTTGAATAGATCGGAGTACAACATGCAGGTACCCGATGCCAAAAAGACGAATTCGCAAAAGTATATACGATCCGAAAATGGGATTTAGCTTTAATTGAGCTCTTTGATTGTCTGATCGGATTGTTTAATGTCGCAACAATTGTATATTTCGGTCGTAGAATTAATGGATAATTGATGGTCGTAAATTGTGGCTCCATTGTGGCTCAAGTGGGGTGTACAAGGTGGTTAGAGATCAAAAAAACCGCCCATGTGATTTCCAGAATCTAGACAAAATTTGTGACAAAAAATTAATTGGAAGTAAGGGAATCAGCGCGGAAACCGATCAGAAAGTAATCGAGAAGAAAAATTTTCCAAAAACAAGTCCATTTTACACTGAAAAAAAGCAAAAATCCGACTTGCAACTTTCAGATTCAAATCCTGACTCAACCGTTCGCTTGAATCCTTTACTCCCAATTAGTTTTTGTCACAAATTTTGTCTAGATTCTGGAAATCACAATGTTTTTCTTGGATTTTGGACCCAGAAAAAGTTATGGGTCAAAAACCTCGAAAAATCCCGTTTTCCATACAAAATCGAGTTTCCAGCTCTCGAAAACGGTAAGGACTAGTCATAAACGGTTTTTAGTTTTAGAATCGAGATCATTAAATTACGCTATTCGACTTCTTCGCTGATCCAAGAAATATTCATTTTCTGAGGGGTGGAGCTATAATTATGTGGATCGGCCAAAGCTATTTTTTTGAAAATTTAGAATTTATTCTTTATAAGCTTTGCTATGCAAAATCGGTGTTTATGATAATTTTAGTATCGAAATATAACACCTTTTCTAGTTGAAAGTTTTGATTAAATCTTTTCAAAAACTTAGTTTTTGAGAGATTCATAGGTGGAGCTATGATTATGCAGAGCAGTGTAGCATGTGTTACGCCTTATAAGTCAGAAGGCAGATTAAGTCGAAAATGTGTTAGATTACTTAAACTTTGTTATAATTAGTTTATTTTTATAACATTTTCACACTTATATTCCAATTTTTAGCCCGATAGGTTGGTTATTAGCTTTGTAATTCTCTAAAACACCCAAAATAAGCTTATTTCATCTCGTTTTCAACATGGCGACAATTAAAGAAATGAAAATTTGATTCTATGATAGTTCAAACGAAAATTTGCTTATGAACTTAACATAGAAAAAGTAAAAAACATTATTTACGGAAGAGTCTTGAGATATGAAGCATTTTAAGCACGATTTCATATGATAATATACATCGTGCCGAACTTCAAATGGCCCTAGTTTTGCTTATAGCCGACCGATCGGGATAAAAATTGAAATATAAGTATGAAAATGTTATAAAAATGCAATTATAACAAACTTTAAATAATCTGACACATTTGCGACTTAATCTGCCTTCATATAAGGCGTAACACATATTATATAACACAACTTTCCTCTCGTTTTCTTTCTGCCAAAAAAAATAGTTTCAACACCACTTTTCCTAAACTTCTCATTGAAAGGTGAGCACTTTTTGAAACGAGTCGAATATGGGCGAACATTGGAACAGGAAAGGAGGAAGAGTTGCGCGGGTGAAGAGGGGGAAAAGAGAAAAAGTGAGGGGGAAGGGGGGGAAGGAAAAGGGGAAAGGGGGGAAGGAAAAGAGGAAAAGAGAAGAGGGATCCGAAGAGAGAATCGGCCCGAATCCCCGTCTTTTGCCCTTTTTCTCTTTTTGCTGAGTGTGTCGCCCGAGTATCGATTCGGCACACTCACCCGAGTCAAACCTCATCCCCAGGATTGCTGTTTTTAGTCGGCTTAAATGGATTTTGACCAATTTTTGGATGAATATCTAGTCTTTTTGTGATTACTTTAAGTTTTTTTTTGCCTTGAAATTTACATTGAAGTTAAGTTCATTCCCTAATTGATTGCTACAATTGTACAATTGCCATTTAGGTTCAAATTTACCAAGAATTGGCTTCCGTTTCCAATTGCTTACTCCAATTTTGTTAGGATTTGCCAAAGGCAAACTTATCATCAATGGTTTTTGCTTCTTCTTGTTTCTTTTTCATTTACTGTTCTGTTTCTGAAAGTGTTTCACTTTCAGCGTTTTGTTTATCACTTTTACCACTGATTGTAGGCTAACCAATGCTCAAAAGTTTCCACGGTAGACATTGAAATCTGGCTTATAGCTTTGTTGTTTTTCGCTAGCTTTCTCAATCATCCATTTCCAGTTTCAATGAGACCGTCATCAATTCGCTCAACCATTTGGCAAGTTTTTGAGAAACAACCCGACAAAGTCGTCTGCACTCTCTGCCAGGCGAATTTCAAGAGAAGCAAATATGGAACAACGAGCAATTTGAGGCGACATATTCGAGCTAATCATAAAGAATACGCAGAAGGATTGAATCTAAGCATTGATGCTTATGGAATACTAGGAAATGATTCGAAACGATCGAAACGGGACAAGGAAACGATTCCAACGTTGAGTCTATCTACGATTGATCCGATGCTGGTGTTGAAGAACGAGATGGATGAGTCGACTTTGAACGATTTCTTCAATGAACCTGCAAATTTGTCGACGATTGAGAGCTTGTTGTGTGAGTTTGAAATCAAGCTAACATTCGCAAATCTAAAGCTTTCGAAAAAAACCTAAAGCTAAAGCCCAAGCATTGAATTTAAAATAGAGCTATTATATAATATTTCATAGACTATAGAATTTCCATCTCCTTCAATCACACATTTCAGTTGCAACTTCTCGTCCACTCGATGATCTGGAGCCTCCGACCGCTAGTGACACTCCGACAAGTTCCGTTCAACAACCAATCGAGCATTTGGAAGAAGATCTGGTTAGTGATTGATAAAAGTAGGGCTCTAAGCAATAAGGATAGCACAGCATAGACGTTAACTTGACTGTCTCATTGACTTGCGACCTCTTTCCGAGAAAATTCTGGGTTGGCTCTTTAAAGCGTGGTAAAACTACCGTATTCCTCCTAATTTGCAGGCATAAAACAAAGGACGTAATTTCATTCAATTTCATTGCTGCACCTCACACTGCTCATTCTGATTCTGTCTTCCAGTAATTATTCTGAAAGAGCCATGATTTTGTAAATAAACTGAATCAGAAACCTCTAGGTATGTAAGGAAAGATCTTTCTCTATTTTCTGCAAGGAATTAGCCAAGTTTCATTTTTTTTGTTTCATAAAACAGTGTCGAGTTAATTAAAGTTCGAAGCATTTTCGGGCAAAAAATAAAGATATAGATGTCAGTTTGTGGAACTAATTTTGTAAGACGATTAAAATTGCGCTCTCATGTGTGGATGCCATTTGCAAAGAAGTTTCTCCGTTTTGAATGTACCGATTCCTTCTGCAAACTCCTTCCACAAAGTTGTGTCATCATCACTCATAAAGAATACGAAGAAATACAGAATAAGTAAAAAAATAAAGAACAACAACGCAATAATGAAATGAAATGAAGAACAAGAATGAAAGAACGAGATTGCTCGCTTTCTTTTATACCTGCAAATTAGGAGGGATACGGTAGTTTAAAGCGCTTTAAAGCGCCAACCTAGCATTTTCTCGAAAAAAGGTTCCAATTGTCTCATTGACTTCAAGGCATGCTGTAAAGATTGAGTCAAGATCAGGATTAAGTATAGGAAATGCTTACCTACTTTTTATCGACTTTAAAGTATAATCGTGTTTGGAATGTATAAGCTAAAAACGCTAAGCTTTCAGAGAGGAAAAGAAATGGAAAACCTTCATGCCGAGTTGCGAAAAATGATCCAAGAGTTGATGGTGAGCCGAGAAGAAAATCGAAAGCTTCGAGGGGAATTGAATCAAGTAAGTGAAATGAGAATGAAAGTGAATATAACTTCAAGAAAAAGAATGAATACCATTGTCTAAGCAGTTATACCCGACTTTAAAAAACCCTTTATTTTAGGTGAATCGACTTTATCTGAAGAAATCGATCGAGGTGGATTTGGCTAGAGAAGAGGTTAGTTTTTATTGATCAAAAATAAAAATAACTTTACTTGACCATTTCTTAGAAATTTATCAAGATTAATATTGAACCTGAAAACTTGTTTGGTGATATGCTTATAAACAGTAACATTTCTGTTTTAATTTCCAGATTTCGCGACTCAAAGGAGAGTCGATTGACGACGAGAATGTGACTTACCTGGATTAAAAATCAAAAATTGTATAATGAATGAAACTTTTAAATCCGATTTAATTTTATATACATAGTTTCTAATTCAATCAGCGATTTTTCATTTTCCATTCATTCCATTTCCATTCATTTTGTCGTTGTACGGGTTGAGCGTTGTGCTCGATTGTAGTTGTTGCATTGTATGTAATTTATAATACTTTTACGGAATTTTGTTTAGTAACATAAAAATATTAAACGGAAAGTCTGTGTTTGCGAAACTTTTCAAGAAGTTAAGAAAAGAAAACGCGCCAGATTGGAAATTTCTAGTAAAAGCACGCTGCAAAGGGACTTTGAAAGTTTTTGTCTGTTTGGTTTGTCAAACATAATTTATTATCATATCAGCAACCAAAAACGAAACTAAACCAAATTTGTACAGCCAAAATGATGAGATCAATTTCTATTTCTTGTTGAAGCAATCGCGTTCCTTCTCAATCATTGAGAGTTCGAGAGTTTGCACGTTGTACGGCTAAAATTGGGTAGTAAAATTTGAAAAGCAAGTTTGGAAACCATAAAATGCTCAAGCTTATAGTTATAGTAGTAAAGAATTAAAGGATCAATCTTTTTAAAGTAAAAATTTATAGGAAAACTCACATTGGTGGCCCTTGGTCCAGCGGAAATGTACGAGTAGGGGATGGGGAACGAGTGTTTGTAGTAGCAGAGAGGGATCTGCAAAGTGGAATCAATCTGGATTCCTTCTTTTTCTTGAAGCACTCACCGTTTTGTCACATCTGTGATAGATGTTCATCTTTACATTAAGCCGTGTCCTCTCATTTCCCATTCCCTCCAAATCGAACGTTCCATCGGCATTCGAGCGACCCTCCGCCAATTTGTCATCGAGAGTGACTAAATGGGTGAGTAAATATTTGATAGCATTTCAAATTGATCGAAATTTCACAGGAAATATCTATTGTATTTTGGTGATTCGAGTTAGCAAAAAGGATAATCTTGCAAAGTTTTAGCTAAAGTTTGAACCAATTTAGGCTTAGGTTTTCTAGGTTAACTACCTAGAACTACCTAGGTTTTAACTGCCTAGATTTTCATAGAGTAGAGATAGAGTGAAATGCTTTAGTTTTATACAAAACAATACCGAATTCTGTCGGAAAACCAATACTTTCCAAAAAACCCACAAGTGTCATGATCGTACAACTTGATTTTTGCTCCTCCATACGGTTGTCCCTTGCAAGTCAGCTTTCCGTAGACTCTCACAGTCTGATATCCGGCTGAGACAATGGAAATGAGAATGACGAATAGGAATACGTGAAGTGATCGAAGCATTTTGTATCTGAAATTTGAATTTATTACCAAAATTAGTGACAAGGCAAGGATTGAGAAGATGGATAAGTGGATGGAAGTGAGGAGAAAAGGGAAAAAAAGCACCAATGATAAGATAAAGTTCAAAGAAAATTGGCTAAAATGGGCATATCAAGTATAAAACACTAGAGAGGCAAGAAAATGTTCAGTTGAGGCAATCTCGGTGCTTCTCCAAGAGAGACAACTCGATCGTTTGTGCGTTGAACATCTGAAATCAACGAGAAATCAATGGGAGATCAATGATGATGAAATGGGAACGGGTGAAATAAAGGATTTGCAATTTTGAATTTTGAATTTCAAATAGAAACGAGTTCTGAATAAACATTGGAACGGGGAACATTTTTAAGCGGTTTTGAATCATCGCCTGTACTTGATAAAAGTTTTGAAGCTAAAACTTAGCTGACGTTTTTAACTTGAATTCAGCTATTGACCGCATTACATTTTACTTATAAAGTTAAAGTGTAAGAACGGGAAAAGCTATTTTTAGCGGTTGTGAATCATTAATTGTACTTGATAAAGATATGAAGCATAAACTAGAGCTGACTTTCCTAAACTCAAACTAGAGCTGACCCAAAGTCAACAATCAATTTTGGCCCCAATATCTGATTACTTTTAAAGCGTAATTCTGTTTTTTTGTAGCTAAAACGAACGATTCTTTTAAATCTAAAGCAAATCAGAAAATCCTGAGCAAGTCAGCTAAAATTCACAAACCTTTTGCGGATAGGTGCCCGAGCTTACGTAGCTCTGAGGAACGGCCCACGAGTATTTGTAGTAGCAAACAGGGAGCTAAACGAAAAAATAGATTAATAGCTTAAAATAATATAATTGAAGATATTTTGCTATAGTACTTAAATTGTATTCAAATTTTCAACTCCTACCGTCTTTCCACATCTGTGGTACACGTTGAACTTGACGTTGAGACGGCTCACTTCGCTGCCGGTTCCGATGAGCTAAATTATTTCGTATAATTGTTTATAAACATTGAAGAACTGTGTAGTTCAAAATTTAAATTAAAGAGCTAGATTTTGTTTAGGAATTTCTTTATCTAAATGTTTAATGAACTTATTAAACCAACCTTGAAATATCCAGTGTTATCAGTTTGCGTCTCGCCGAGCTTGTCGTCCATAGTCACTGGAAAACTATTTTGAAACAAACTGATACTTGAGAAAATTGTTAACTAAAGTCTTTTTAGATTTTGAATGTCTTTACAGACTATTTTCTTTGAAAACTCACAAGTATCATGATCATAGAGCTTGATCTTAGCTCCCGAGTATGGCTTTCCATTGCAAGTGAGCTTCCCCTCGATTCCCACCGTTTGCTTGTTAGCGGCAATGAATGGAAGAGCTAGGAGAGCAAAGAAGGCCAATTGGGTGAACATTCTAGATAAATATTGAAGAAATTGAAGTATTCAGTGAAAGAATATATTTGGAGATCAGAGTAATTTGTACTAGAATGAGTGCTAGACTAAACTCGAAGCTATTATAAAGGAGAAAAGTGTTTGTGATGAGTCACTGAGAAAAGAGAGAAATGAGTTTATTTCCTTGTCAAAAACAAAAGTTTCATGAGAATCGGGTGACCTTGAGTTATTGTCGAATTTGAGGTGAGTCATTGAAAATTGCTTTTGAAAGAGAAATATCAATGGAGGGAAAAAGTGGGGAGGATAAACGATGCGAGGAACATATGGTCAGTCGGAACAAAAAAAAATAGAGAAGTGGACGAAAAATGAGAAAAAATGAGTGGGAGATAAATGGTGAGCCGATGAATCGAGAGGATTTGTTGGAAGGTCGAAGAATGATTGTGAGGGTTGATTTCAGCTTTCGGGTGAATAATGGCTTATTGGGATTTTGAAGTGCTTCTACAGTACTGGCTTCTATGGTACTATCGTACTTCAGTACTCCAGTTCTATCACACTTTTACAGTATGATAGAATTGAAGTTAGTACTTTTACAGAGTACTACAGTAGTATAATACTTCTATTTTTTCTGTAAAAGTACTTCTGTTTCTTCTACAGTACTGTAAAAGTAATGTAGATTTGCTATCGTAGCCAGATGCTTGTAAGAGAACAAAAGAACGGCCGTACCTTTTTTTGATTTTCTAGAAGAAAATGTGATCAGATAAAAGATCTGATATTTATCTGATAAAGATCTTTTATTAGAAAGAAACGCATAGCTACTGTATGGAATAAAGCTAGCTTTTACATACAAAACAAATGAGTTCTTGAAAGAAAGTCAAATAAAATCTCCAACTTACAAGTCTCAAAACGTCTAGATTAGCTCCTATCATGGAATAACAATCTTGAATCCCTTTGATTGATCAATGGAAGATGAATCGATTGAGAAAACGAAAGGGGATCAAAGGGTGACCATATGGCCGGCTCAGGGATTGGAAATAAAGAGATCTCTCGGGTTGTTTTGACGGGATGAGAAGAGACAACCCGAGGCAAACAACCTCCTTCAATTAAAGTGAAGCTAGCAAATAAACAAGTGATTAGCTATTGAATGGGATTTGAGGGATTGCCCTTTTCAATGTAGGTAACTTTATAAAACATAAAACTTGAAATTTGAAGCAATTCTTGAAGAAAATAGGTCAACTTTCGATTAACTACTGGAACTTTGCCACTCAAAGTCTCAGCCCAACCCCAGTTTTGAAATTGATCAAATATGTTATAAGTTTCCTTGCAAGAAAGCCATTTATGAACTTAAAAACTGGGTTATTAGTCCATAAAGCAAACTTTTGCCTAGCTATGAGCTATGAGCCACAGCTAAAATTTCAAAAACTGCTTTGAATTTTTACTTTTACCACCCCAAAGCGTACGATCTATTAAAAGCAACGAATTTTGAAAACTAAACCAAGATTGATACTGAAAACGGAAGTAAAGCTCGATTGTCAGCGAAAATTTCGTCCACTCCTCACTGTGTTTACATAAACATTGACAATGAGAGGGGGACATGATGGGTCTCTAACTTGTTAAAATAAAAACACATTTTTGATCACTTAGAAATTCTATTCTATAAATCAAAAATTTAAAATGACAAGAAATTACTTAACATAGCAAATTTTGAGCCTTTTAAAATTTTTATACACACTTCCATGTCTGTAGTTTCCAAGTAGGACAACTCGAACACTGGTACTTTATAAATACACAAATAGTAAGCCAAGAAGTGTACTTATTTACTTAGAAGAATGACTCTTTGAGCATCAACTTCTTTGAACTGATCTTGTTTGTTTATTGTGCTCTTAAAAAGAAGCCAACTGACGTTAAAAAGTGACGGGAACTATGGGATTTTCTTGTGCCACAAAACAGAACAATTGAAAACAGCTGACTAGTCAAATGAGTCTATTTGGGGAAAAATCTTTGTACTTGTTGACTTTTGCTCACAAATTAGAAACTAGACACAAGTATGATTGAGTACATTTGGGTTATCAGATTGGCTATGAACCCATTTTACTAGTTGACTGATTAGAACGATTCGCCGAGTCTGAGAATTGGATAACAAGGGGTTTGATCAAGTCAAGATCACACCAATTTTTTCATGGGATTTTTTTTGTGCCACAAATTTTCATTGGCCACATTGTTAATTTTCATGGTTTAATTTTATAAAATGTCAATTATATTATAAACATTTGAAATAGTTTTAAGGCCAGATAAAATTCAAGTGTTAAAACATCAAAACGCAAAACAAAAGTCAAAACGAGCCCGGAATTTTTGGCTCGAGTTCGATAACTTTTTAGTAAAACTTGCCTCTGTTTTGCCATTTTGCAAAAAACGGAAAGCAGATTCGGAATCGGCGTGAAATTCTGCGTCGAATGGCTCATGTGATTTGGCCACATCCTACTGTTGCCTTTCCCTTGTAAGAGAGATTTTATGACACAAGTAATCGTGATCAAATGGTATAAAAGTCACTCTTCGATGACGATCATCAACAACTTCACTCACTTGAACTTCTTTCATCAACTCTCACCTCATCCAATACGCATGCCTTCTCCGTCCTCCTCATCTCTTTCTTCTTCTTTGGTGAGTTCTTTGCAAACAGTTTCAATAGTAAACTGTAAAATACTATGATCACTAATTTTAGTTCAATTCTAATGGGATTCCAAGTTAACTAAGCAGTTTATTATCAAAGACTTACATTACTTTAAGGTTGGTTCTCTTTCAAATGTCGATCCGCCTCCAAGTCATCCTCCTCTTCATCCTCGTCATCCTAGTCTTTTCGGCTTTCTTGTGTAAATTTGGGAATATTCATAGCCAAAGTCGCGCAATTTTGAGAGAAAAATATTGGCAATAGTGACATTTTCGAAATCGAGAACTGATTCAATTTGTGCTTGATAGTTTTTCAAAGATGTACTTAAGAGACTTTTTTACTTAAGAGTTTTTCAAAGATGTACTTTACAACAAAATGGAGTCAAAGATCTCATCGATGCCTGTAATCTCATTCAGAAGCAAGGGATTCCCGATAAATGTTCAAAAATAAAACTTTTCTTGAGTTCTCGCAATGGAAAATTTGAGAATTTCGAGAAAATGAGAGATTTGTTTATGAGGAATGAGAAGTTTCAAGAGGTTATGGAGAATTCGCAAGCTAGGAAATGTTTGTTGAAGATTGTTTACCCTTATTTGAGTCACATGAATCCGATTCCAATCTTTGGGCAATTCAGTCAAAATGCTAGCCAAAATCCTGGCCGAAATCCTGGCCAAAATCCTGGCAAAATCTTGGCCGAAATCCATTCTAAATTTTTTTGAAAACATTGTTCGTTATTGCAAAACACTGTTTACTTTGTTCTTTTTGTTAATCCAATGAATTTTCATGTGAATATTTATTAAGATAAAAAAGAAAATAGAGCAAAAGTTTGGATTTAAGTTGTCTGAACTACATGAGCGCTTTTCTTGTTTAAACCATCGAAATAGCAGCGAGTTTTTGCATCGACGGAATCGTTGCCTGAATGATTTCATTGTTTGATTAAAATTTTAATCAAATTAAGGATTAAAAAAGACTTTAAAAGTATCAAAGAAGCAAGCTTTCCCCTTACCACCTCATTTTGGCGATTGCATTTCAATCCAGTGGCATCACATCGATAACCGGATGGACAACAGTGTTGCCTAGAAATGTATCATTAAGAGAAAAGAGAAAATACTTAGAGAAAAGACTTTTAAGAGACTTTTTCTAAAAGATGTGACTTCGGAATGATTATAATTTGACAAATCAACTGTTTGATCTAATTTTTAAAACTTTTTACTGATCCGAGCAGCAAACAGCGTTCGTCATCGGGCAACAGCCATATTGTCCATTGTTCTCTGGACAACAAGTGTTTCCTGGAAAAGTAAAGTAAAGATTTTACTTTGAAAAGAAAAGTTATTAAGGTATTTTTAACACTCACCAGATGGGCATACCCAAATTCCGCCAGGACACAGCACAGTGAGTTGTTTTGCTGACTAAATTGAACGTTATTTTATCACCGTTGCAAGCTAATCTAACTGGTTTACTTCAACATAATAGTTCCTTTTTGTGCTTAGATTCTATCAAAACTATTCTTAGACTCACCATCAAGGCCACTGTAACGCCGAGCAATAAAAGAAGGGTTCTCATTTTTGGTAAAGAAGAGCTGAAAGAAAATATCTTAGGCTGTCCAGAAAGTCTTTTCTTTCCATACTTCCGTTCCTGAATAATCACAAATTCATCAATTAGCCTATGGTTTGCTTTAAATAAAAAGTGTTTTTTATTCAATTTCCCATCTTTTTAAGTCAATTTGGGTTCACTTTTCATGCGCAAATTCGAGAGTGAAAAATGTGTTTTTCGTAAAATTCATGTTTTTCGATTTATAAAAACCTCTACGAAGAAATTGGCTTAATCAATTTCTTTGAAAATTTGCCTATAAAGCTAACTTTTTGTGCTCTACCTTTTCTCTATTGACTCCAAAATAGATTTCCTTAGCTAAAGTGTCTAAACCGCATCATCGTCGTTCTTTTTGACTACCCGACTTCAGGCTCTAAAAAAATTCCAAACATAATACATTTTAAACCCATTTTAACATTATTTTGCAGAAAAATAAGTGGTCTTTCTAATGAAATAAACCGTAGTTCAATTGGTGCATTTGTTGGTTTTAAACGAAAGTACAAAAAGAAACGACAAGACCTATGGATAGCCTAATAGGTATGAAAATTGAAGCTTGCAAACTGAAACAGAAATTTACTAAAATTGCTTAGTGAGGCTGTTGTCGTATAAAAATGAGTCTAGAGCCAGTTTGGATGAGCTTTTATATCAGTATGCCATGATCCGCTATCTGTGCTCTCCGGTGTCCCAAACATCACAAAAACGCAAAAACAAGCGATGTTTTTTTTCTAAACTAATCGTTTTTCTTGCATAAAAATTGTATTAGTTGACGTACAAGAAAAACAAGTTTCAAAACTTCCGTGCTTTTTTCACCATTTACTTGCCATTTAAAGTGGACAAACAAGTGATAACACTTTCATGAAAATCACTTTTTTGGTAGAAAAATGCGGAAATGTGTGCGGAAAATTCTGATAAGCTTTTTGTTCACCTAATGAAAATTTCAAGCAAAACAACTTCTTTTTTCACGATATCAGATTTCCAGTCACTTTCCATTACATGATCTATAGACGCAGAATTTCACGCTGAATCCGAATCTGCTTTCTGTTTCTGCTAAGGAGCACCCTGTCAAAAGTTATAAGCGTGCAAAGTTTTGTATTGCATTTCAAAAATCACACCCCGAGGCTTTCCCAAAGGCTTTAAGAAGCAGTAATGGCCGAGTAGCAGTGGGCTTGAATACAAGGCAAAGATTCTCTAGCTCTATGATAGCTGTTTGAAGTGAATAGTTAAAAGTAGACACTTTTATGAGAAGTAGTTTAAAATACACTTATATTTGAAACGGAGAACAATTAACTTTGCAAAGCCAAAAATTCCAAAGAAAACAGCCGAACGGCGGACTAGTGAACTAGTGAATCTTTGCCTTGTATTCTAGCCCACTGCTACTCGGCCATTACTGCTTCTTAAAGCCTTTAGGAAAGCCACGCGGTGGGATTTTTTGAAATCCCATACAAAACTTTGCACGCTTATAACTTTCGACAGAGTGCTCCTTAGCAGAAACATAAAGCAGATTCGGATTCAGCGTGAAATTCTGCTCTATGGCTTAATGCTCTATGGCTCATGTCATTTGGCCGGCACACCCAGTTGACCTTCCCTTGTCAGACATGTCATTACACTTAGACAGAATGAAATTTGATCGACTAGACCTAATAAAGCTACACATAACACTGGCAATTGGCATGATAAAAGCAATGGAGATTGAGACATTACAAGATCGATATCCATTTGGCGATCGATACGCTCATTATATCAGTTTGACGATATTTGGAGAGAATTTTTTTTCAAGTTTAACCAGTACTTTATTTTAAAACTTGATAAAGGTTGTTTGTTTGTTTGTTTGTTTGTTTGTTTGTTTGTTTGTTTGTTTGATAAACATTGTCAGTTTTTCGCGATCAAGTTCAACAATGAGTCACAAATGAAAAGAAATTGTAGATTTTGTCTGTGTCTGTAAATCATGATATGACATGATATCATCATCAAAATCATTTTATACATGTTACCAGCGCTCACTTCATTCACGTTTTCCGCTGGCGACTCTCTTTCTTTCTTTCAAATGACTAAAACTAATGTAACCCATGTTAAGTCCCGCCCCCTTTTTAAAAATGGACCTAAAAGTCAGATTCCCCAGAGCTGAAAACCCCCAGGAGCAAAATGTCGAGCGCAAAAGCTGAATACTTTGCCTTTTAACCGATAGAGCAAACGTAATTACGGAGCGTCGCGTTTGCGCACAGACGCACAAACAGACAGACGTCTCTTCTGCTTTATATATAGTAGATATATCGTATTTAACTTTGGTCGTTGTAATATTGCATATTTCTTCTGGATACACAAATAAAAATGAAGTCAAAGCTTAAAGAAAAATGAGATCATCATCAGTAAACTGAACATAGTTTTTCCGTTCTTCACAAGAACCCCATCGACAATAAGGTTTGAACTGAAATTGGGTAATTGGCGAGATGTTTTGCTATATGTTAGCTTTATGTCTAATGCTATGACTTGTAAACTGTAGATTATTTTACTGTACATTTAGGTACTCATCGTCAGCTTTTCCATTAAGAGGCTCACCTCAGTATCTGGTCCACAAATCGAATATGGGGGACAATAGGCACAGCATTGAAATCCCTAGAAACAGAATTATAAATTTAAAATCTAATTTTTTTCTTTTTTTGCACAGTAGTCTTCATTTTATATCTAGAAAAGTAGAAACTTTGTTAAAAAAACCAACCGGCGAACATTGACTCGTTGTGGCACAGTACTCGCCTGGCTAAAATCATAATTTATTCATCAAATGACTGAGAATTCTTCAGAATTTGCTGATTTCAATACAAATGAGTCTCAAAACTATAAAATTCTCATAAAATTTACCTTCTTTTCCCCACATGGTACCCCCCTAGCAAAAGTTTCTGTGAAAATAACAGAAATAAGCAAAATTGCAAAGCTTATCGTGGAAGAGAGATTCATTGAGACTGAAATTCGATGCAATAAACCAATATTGAGTTTCTTACTTGATTTTATAGCTTGTTCAATCATTGAAATATTTGCCATCAATCATACTCGAGAAATCAAGAAAAAGTCTCGAGCTTATCACCGGAAACTGGGAGATTTGTCGCAAAGTCGGGGGTTTTTAAAAACTTCTCATTTTTGCAATGAGTTTTTGGAGCTCGCAAAAGTGTGACAAATTGCACCGGATACATTAGAAAAGCTCTTTTCAGTGTTTTTTAAACAATGTCTGGTGAACTCCCGCATTTCCTAAGCTCTGTTCTATACTTGAGTTGATAATGACTTGTTCAAAATTTCGGCATTGGTTTACTCATTAAGTTGCTAGCCATTTCTAAGCCATAAATTCTTAATCAACTCTAGATCTTTGCGAAATCAAACTTTCGATTTGCATTGCTCGATGCTCAACAATGTGTCAGCCATCTGGTTATTCTGAATCAAAGCGAATGAATCAATCCGAAAAACGCGATTGATTTGTAGAAGCGATAATGGAAATGATGGGAAAAAACAAGCGTCAAGTGATTAATTTTTCAATTTGAGTCAACCGCAGTTTGTATAATGTTTATCTGCTCAAAATTTAATTAAGATTAAACCATGCCCTTAGCCAAGTATTTCACCAGTCGAAACGAAGCGTTTGTCGACCATTTTCATGTCTTACAACAGAATTCTTCCCAATTTCCATCACCCACTCATCGTGAGTTCTTTCAATTTTGTGCAAATTCTAATAGATATAAAACAAACACATAATGGAGCACTTTTGAGCTGCCTGGTCATCTTTTAAATCAAATGTTGATTGATAACTCCCGAACAATCAAGATCTCTTAGTCTCGATTCTTGGAAAAGAATCCATTGATTCTGTTTAAAGAAAATTTCCGTTGATTTCTATTCTACAAAAATTAAACAAGTGAAGAACTTAGCTGAGCAAAGAATGCATTGAGCTTTGCTTTCAAAAATAATGCTTTTAACTTTCAATTGGAAGAAAGCCCTTCTGCACAATGTGGCTGGAGCTGTTTTGACAATCGTGATCTCATCTTGGCGCATTAAAGTCACTGATTTTTAAAAACAAGTCTAGAAGGTAAAAATATGATAAAGAGTAGTTAAATGTGTAAAAGAATAGCATTTTCACGTGGATTCCAGTTAATGGCTGTAAAAAGTGCGCTGAAAGAGATGAAAGAAACAGAGATAGCTCAAATCTCGAACCTCTCAAAAACAACGACCACTATTGCGCCAGAAATCAGGTAGTTTTGAATCAAAATTTAAATTTGAACTTAATTCAATCTTTTCGAGTTATGAAAAATCAAATTAGCATTCAGATGCAGTTAAATAACGATTCTCAGCATAGAATTCCATTTCTTCTGCCAACACGGTTGAACAAGATTTGAGGGACATTGCTACAAGGTAGATCCTATCTGTGTTCTGAATTATTATAGGCAAGTGGTAAACTCAATTATCCATACTAATAAAATACTAATTGTCGTTGTCGGATGAGCCGTTTCAAAGTGTCAAAGCTACAGAAATTAGAATCAGTAAGTGACCTTTCTTGATGACAAAACGCGTTGAACCCTTTTATTAATTAAGCGGTTGTGTCACCGCAAAAAAACTGAATCAATTCATTTCTTGGCGTCTCCGAAAATTCAATTAGGAACTTTTGATTCGCATTCTCACTTGCTAAATGATATAAACAGGAAAGTGCCAAGTGATTCAACCTTTGCTTGCTACCAGATTCAACTTATTATTCATACTATGGGATCTGGATTCAGATCCGGTACTTGTTCACTTGATCACAGCCTCGTCTGCTCCTAATCATTCTCTAATACCAGGTCATTGTCTATTTAAAATTCTAAAAAATGTCACATATTTCGACATTTTGTTCATCTGCCTGTATTTTGTGACAAGAAAAAATTCCGACTCTTGCACTGTCATGGAACTTTACCAATGGAAGCTTATCAGTTTTTTGCAGTGATCAGCTACAAATCAGAGCTGATTTTCTCACTGTGAGATCACTTTCAATTAGTCATATTTACACAAAATGCAGCCTGCTTGAACAGACCTTGTAATCAGTATTGTTTTGAATGTTTGTTTTTTTGTCGTTATCATCTAGAAGTAAGATTTTGAAGTTTATTTGCGAAGAGTTTAATGTGAAGTCGTTTAACAATTGCCGATCGCTTAATGAAAAATTTTGATAGAGAAATGGAAAACAAATCAGTCTAATTATCAACCATCATTTCAACTTACTTGGGAGATCAATTCCCGGAGTATAAGCATAAGCGGTGACGTCAGCAAATCCATAAACAATAGCCGCATATTTTACGGTTGGATCGGTCGTTTGAATAGAGTGAGTGCCGGGTGTAACTGGATAGTCAACCATGTAATAAGTTGAAGTTTCTTGTCTAAATTTCTAGAGTTCAAATGCTTAAAATTTTGTGCAAACTTTTGGAATAATTGTGCAGAAACGGGAACACCATCGATTAGAAATTTGCTCTTATTCTCGGCGGCCGTCATGGACGTTTCGAGTCGAATAAAATGGTGTTGAGTGGTTTTGCCGGTTAGTCCTGTTGTCACCTGAATGGTGAACAACGTTCAAGGATTAGGATCAGTGTTTAGTAAGTAATTGCCTGCTGAGTGCTGAAATATCACACTTTATTGGAATATCAGCCATACGTTACTACAACTAGACATGGGCTTGGTTTCGGAGCAGGAATTGGCACTGAACATGCCTGCTAGTACTAGTTCTGTAACTTTAGCTATCAAACCTAAAGTCAAGCATAAAGTCCTACCATAAGGCAATGCACGTCGGCGCGAAACAATGTAAACTTTCGGTTTCTATCGGATTTTGATGTGCTATGCTCTATTTAACGTGAAAAAGTGAGCTGATTTCAAATCTGAAAAAGATTTTGAAATCCGCTTAACAGATTTTTTAAAATCGAATTTTTATTCAAGAATTATTCAAACGAAAAGTAACAGCACTTAGAATATCCTTTAATTTCACTACATTATTTGAAAGTTCGTAATCGATGATTCTTGCTGGAGATTGGAATATTTCGATGATTCTTGCTGGAGTTTTCGTATTTGATATTCATTAGCCATTATATTTATTAGGCGACTGTACAACCGAAGAACTTTTCGAGTCACTTTTTTAGAAAGAATCAAAGCCATTGTTTGAATAAGAGAGAAGATTAATTTTTTCAGAACATTAGATCTTCTTTGCCGACAATATTTGGAGCGAATTTTTCGAGCCAGTCGAAGATTTTCAAAGTGCTTCTTCTTCTGTTGTTTTGCTTCTTTTTCCATTCGCCTTTTTGCATTGCGCACAAGGACCATTTTCTTTTTGTTGCCTTCTCTCATCTGAACTTTCTCCCAATGCTTTTTGATCCTCCTTTTTGCAGCACGACTACTTCTCTTAGGCCGCGTCATTTTGCTATCTGGAAAACAAGAAAATTAGTAAAGTGAAGAAAAAACAACTAAAAAGAGCGGTAAATAGCAAGAAAAATAATTTCGTCGAAATATGACTTTCCATTATATACTAAAAATGCCGAGTACGGTATTTATCCATGCTTTAACGTGCAAAAAGTTGTTAAACGGCATTTTTGGGTTTAAAGTTTAAACTGTTATAACTTGTTACAGGTATACCCACTTTTTGTACTGTTTATTGTCACATTTATTACAGCTACGATTACATCATCTTCGGTATTTATTGTAGTGTTTTCCATCACTTGTACTTGTCGAGTCATTTTAGGTAGCTCATTAAGAAAATCTACCGTATTTCTTCGAATAGAAGACCGGGCAAAGAGTATCATTGCGTACTCCTGCGTAGCAGCCCTTTTTAAAATTTCTTTTCTGCATAAAAACTTTCAATCAAGTGCTATAGAGCTGGAAAATGGCTCAAAAATCTGTTAGCTCATGTGGTATTTTTGGGTCACTTTCCAGCCCTATAGCACTTCATTGAAAGCTTTTATGCAGAAATGAAATTTTAAAAAGGGCTGCTGCGCAGGAGTACGCAATGATACTCTTTGCCCGGTCTTCTATTCGAAGAAATACGGTAATTCGCGCTGCGTTTTTTCCTGATCATGTAATGTGGATCATTATTTCTAGTGTATCGTTGACTATATGACCCGAAGTGGTAATATTGGAACATTTGACCGTGTGGATGAAGAGAATGTTAAGGGAAGAGAGAAAGAGCTCTGTAAAAAATGGTTGAGCAACAAAATACGAGTGCTCTTTTTACAGTTGAGATGGAAATCCGTCTCAATAAACACGCTCGCTATAATAGACAATTTATTCGCAAAATACATCAAAAATAATTAATAATCAGAAGTTTCCGATATAATCCTGTATTCGTATTTCCTAGGCATCACGGATCTCGTTGAGAGTTTGAATCAATTGCTAAACCAATTAAATTAAATGCTTTTAAAACCCTATTAACTCACGTTAACTCCAGTGTCGAATTTGCGTAAACAAGGTAAGTAATCCTCAGCATATGATTCGAACGTGGACTTTATTTTTCTAAACAAAAAGTGTGTTGTTTTAAAGTGCCAAAATATACGTAAATGACTCGTGTTTCTCCTGTAAATCGGCAAAAGTTGCTGCGTCGTTGAGAATTTCTTCTTTCGAAAGTAATTTCTAAAGAAGATACTTCAAATAGTTTTATTTGATAAAAATACCGTTTCAAAGACGTTGATGCCTTCGAGAAGTCCCTTGTGCAATTTAGGAACCAAATCCTTGTAAGTGTTGATGACATTTCTTGACTCTTGTTGAAGTTCCATCGACATTTGATTAGCCTGAAATAAATTGAACTAATGCAAGCTTTTTAATTTCAAAATAACAAAAAGATGCAAAATACCTTTTTCTCTAGTAACGGAATGGCTTTATGTGGATGATGCTTCTTGTAAGCACAAGCACCACAAATCTAAAAAGTAAAAATGACTTCAAACCTTTTCGTGACATTCATTGCAGCTATGATCATATTCGGCATCCGTTAAAGCATTTATTACAACAGTCATTAAAGCTTTCTCCATTTTTTCTATTTGTCGAGCCATTTGGGGTAGCTCATTTAGAAAATCTAACAAAAGATTAGTGAATGCAAAGAGAATTCATCTACCATGAAATCTATCTTTCCGTTTGTTGACACCACCGTACGTAATCCCACGACAAGTTGGACAAGTGATCTTATTGTCCCAACGAAATTGCGTTGTTCGTGTCTTTAAATAGCAATCCGTGCAAATTATGTGAGAGAAAACAATTTCTTTGCCTCAATTTCGTTCGAAACTAAAACAAGAACTTTTCCAAAGCAAGTCATCAAACGCACATTCTTCCTGACAAACTGGACATTCCGGAATTTCAAAAGGCTAAAAGAATCACTATGATTTGCAAATCCCAAATCCAACCTTCAAAAGGACATATCCCATTGGAGTAAACACTAGAGCGCTTTCTTTTTTTCTGAGAGACTTT